GAGGAGGAGGAGGAGGAGGAGGCGGAGGAGGAGGAGGAGGAGGAGGAGGAGGAGGAGGAGGAGGAGGGAGGGAGGAGGAGGAGGAGGAGGAGGAGGCGGAGGAGGAGGAGGAGGAGGAGGAGGAGGAGGAGGAGGAGGATGGGAGGAGGAGGAGGAGGAGGAGGAGGCGGAGGAGGAGGAGGGAGGAGGAGGAGGCGGAGGAGGAGGAGGAGGAGGAGGAGGAGGAGCAGGAGGAGGAGGAGGAGCAGGAGGAGGAGGAGGAGGAGGAGGAGGAGGAGGCGGAGGAGGAGTCCTGGCGCCAGGAGGCGGCAGGAGGACCAGCCACGTAAGCGGATTCTCTGCCCTGCCCTCTGCTATCCTGCCCTCTCGTCCCCCCGCGGCTGACGCGTTCTGCGCCTGTCGTGGTTCTCAATGCGAGGGTTATGATGCTCCAGCCTACTTTAGCCTTGATCACCAGGAATAATTGTGAGCGCCCAAAAAGTACCGAAACTCAATGGTTTTCACGTGCCGGGCCCAGGGAGACACTGTTTCGACACTGTTTCGACACTCTTGTGGCACTTTTCTGGGTGCTCGAACTCATTTCTGGGATGCGGTCCTTAAGTAGGCGAGGGTGGTTCTTCTGCTGCCCTCTTGAGGTCTGCCGCTCAGAAGGACTGGTGCTGTGACCACTGGGGTCGCGGCTGCAGCAAGGACCCGGCGTCACCCCAGCATGCTAACACTATGTGTTCGTCGCCCCCACATGGGCGACGCGCGCGCCGAGGAACCTTGCAGTGTGGGCTCCGTGGCGGGCGCTCTCTGGCCATACCGCTCGGGAGACGATGTTCTACGAGGTCGTTATGTTATATGTTCGGGTCGGACGCATGCCTCCAAGGAGAACGCATAATTCGGCGACTGCAATCGGTGCGGTTACGCCGGGGTGCGGTTTGCGAGTTGCTTTGTGGCGGCCTTTTCGGGGCCCTTTTGAGAGACAATGTCATAACTGTCGTCGTTTCGAGCGACACTGCCATCCTCGATGTGCGCTCCACTGCACGAGGGCATACTAGTATTATTAATACTAGTATGCCCTCGTGCGTCCCGAGGACGAGGGCGGCGGGGGCGGCGCCACAGAGTCGGCGGACATCGTCTCGGTGGCCAAGAAGTTTGGACAGCCCGGGCCGTTGCGGGAGGCCCAGGGGCTGGTTGAGAGGGAGAAAGGTCTGGGCCTCCCAGATGGGGTCGGAGTAGACGGGGGTCCGAGGATCGCACCGCAAGGCCGATGGATCGGCGATGCGGCTCGATGCGTAGCCCGATGTTCTTCACGCAGACGTCGCCGATGCGTCGCCGATGCGACGCGACCCTCCGACCTCACATACTCGGACCCCATTTGGGAGGCCTCCAAAAGAGTACGGTGGGTTCGTGCTGTGTCGACGCGGTGGCGACTTTTCTCCGCAGGCGCTCACGGCCGAACTTCCGCGGGTGGCCCAAGATCCTCCAACATGGAACGATCTGGAATGTGGTGGCGGAGGGCTCAACGTGGATCGCAGAGCCGCCGCTCGTGGAAGGCTGAACGATCCGCGTGGTTCCAGACACCAGCGCTTGCGTTGCTACGGTGCAGACCTACCGTGTGTCAACGATACGATCCGCGTGGTCCCAGACACCGGCGCCTGCGCTGTTGCGGTGCAGACCTGCCGCGTCGGCGGCACGCTGCCGCCGGTGGTCGGGACCTCCCCTCCTCCCCTCTCCTCCTCCTCTCCTCCTCCTACCTCCCCCCCTCCTCCTCCTCCTCCTCCTACCTCCTCCCTCCTCCTCCTCCCTCTCTCCTCTCTCTCTCTCTCCTCCTCCTCCTCCTCCTCCTCCTCCTCCTCCTCCTCCTCCTCCCTGGACGCCCGGCGACATGCTTTTGTTCAGTCCGCGGCCCCGGGGCCCGACCGATTCTCTCCGGGACCAGCTCTTCGCCCAAGGCTCGGCTTCTTGAGGGGCCCCGGGGCCTCGGAGCGGCCCTCGGAGGCCGCAGGCGCGGCAAGCCTTCCGGACGGAAGGCGTCACGTCGTCGGAGATCTGGAGGCCTTGTTGGCGGGCTCCCGAGGTCTCGACCGATTCTGGCACTGGCTTCTCGTCCCGAGTCCGCGCCCTGGCGGCCCCGTGCCCTGGCGAGGGCTCCCGGGAGGCCGAGAGTCGTCCACGGCCCTCCGCCGCGGCTCTCGACAGCGAGAGGATGCCGGGGCCTGCGGCTCTCCGGGTCACGGCTCGGGCTGCCGGCGGCCGGTCGGGGCCCTGCTCGCGCATCCCCGGAAGATGCCTCGAGGCGCAGTGCCCAGGAGGGCATCTCGAGGCCGGGAGAAAGCCAAGACCAGGGCCCGAAGGGGGCCCCTTGAAGGCGGCCACCGAGGGCCCGAGTCGAGGGAGAGCGCCCCGGGCCGAAGAGCTCGCGTCGCCGCAGGTCTCTCGGGGCCTCTGCGGGTGCGCGTCCGCGGGGGTCCCCCACGGCAGGTCCGCCGGCATCCATGCCACACCTGAGCGCCCCCCAGCTCTCTCGGTGGTGTGGAATGCGGATGGGGGGGCAATGCCCCCCCATCCAGGAAGGAGAAGCCAGCACGAGGGTGGTAGGGGAGGGGAAGCAAACCTCGAACCTCTATTCAGCACGCGCAATGACGAAGCGCACTGGAAGCGCACTCGGTTGAATCAGCGCCAAGGCATGTGGGTGCTTGTTGTCTGACGGGGGTTCCCCGCTTGAGCGAGGGCCCCGCTCGGGGCCCGACAGCTGCTCGCACCCATACCCGCAGCGCCTTCCTCGCCTTGCCCTTCCCCATCTCTGCCCTTCTGGGCTTGACAGAGTGTGTGTGTGTTGCTCTTGCATCACCACCTAGAGATCCGATGTCTTGTTTTTCAGTGCGGGGCCCCCAGAAGTGTCGACCCACTCCTGGACTCCTGGGGCCTGGCTCCTCAGCCCGTGTCGTTCTCTGACAGCCCCGGGGCCTGGCCAGGGCCTGCAGAAGCCGAGAGGGGCGAGAGACCTCCGCCTGGTCCTCTCTGGCGCGTGCTGCGCCACGCGCCGTGGAGGGGCCTGGGAGCGTGAGGAGGGCTTGTCACAGAAGCACCCCTGCTTCTCTCAGGAGGAGAAAAACACACAGACACAATTAATCGTCGACTCCCCAGAAAACATAGGAAAATATGGGCAGTGGGGGGGAAGACATAAACCCAGAAAATACAGGAAAATATGGGGAATCCTTTTATTTGTGTGTATTTATTTGTGTGTCCCAGGGCCCCTTCATTCTCAGAAGGCGCGGGCCTCGTCTCATGGCGTCCACATCGCAGAGCGGACTTTGTTCGGAAAGCGATAGCATGGGCTCGGAGTGTCCTGAAGGATTTCGTTCCGGATTTCGAGGTGCATTTCGCGCGGATTTTTTTTGGCCAGGAACGAAGACTAAAACAAGCCCACGCGAAATTCACTTCGTTTTTCACTCGCTGTTTCGGGGGTTTTTGCATGGACAGAAGTCCACGCAACAATTCGCTGCAGCACGTCTGCAAGGGTGGCGCGCCGACTCGTCTGCAGATGTGAGGCCGGCGCCCTCTAAGGAGCAGCCTCCTCCCAAGAAGCCTTCCCCCCCCCTCCCCCTGCGGATGGCCGCGCGAGGCCGCACGTCGCCGCCGCCGCACGCCGCCGCCGCCGCCGCACGCCGCAGTCGTCGGCGTCGCCCGTCGTCGTCGGCGTCGTCGTCGTCGTCCTCGCCGTCGTCGCCGTCGCCCGTCGTCGTCGTCGTCGGCGTCGGCGTCGTCGTCGGCGTCGTCGTCGCCGTCCTCGCCGTCGCCCAGTCGCCCGTCGTCGTCGGCGTCGTCGGCGTCGTTGGCGCCGTCGGCGTCGCCCGCGCGCCGCCCCGCCGCGCCGCCCCGCTCCGGGCAGGGGCGGCCCCCGCGGCGCTCCGCCGCGCTCCCGGCGGTCGCCGCCGCGGCCGCGTGCGCCTCGCTCGGCGCCGCCGCGGTGGTGGCCCGCGGCCGCTGGCTCGTCCGCGGCGGCGGGCCCGCCGCGGTGCTCCCCGCGGAGTGACGGCAGCGCCTCGCGGCGACGACGACGACGACGACGACGAGAAGCGGCGACGACGACGACGACGACGACCACCGACGACGACGACGGCCACCACCACCGTCGACGACAACGGCGACGATGATCAAGACCACCGACGACGACGACGACCGACGACGACGGCACCGACGACGACGACCACCACCGACGACGACGACCACTGACGACGACGACAACGACGACGATGACGGCACCTACGACAACGAGGACGACCGACGACGACGACGACCACTGACGATGACGACGACCACCGACGACGACGACCACCGAGGACGATGACGACGACGATCCAGGGATCCAACGTCTAGGACAATTTCCCGAGACGTACCCAACCCTTTGTCCACGCGAGGCGAGTGTTTGCTGAACGCTCCATGCAAAAGAACACATCGCCAGATGTGCACGCTCCACGCTGCCATCATCTCCACCGTGGTTCCCACGAGCATGCGAAAGTGGCGGCAATTCCGCACTTTGCAGCCTTCCAGGGATCCTACGTATAGGACAAGAACAATATCAAGACGGAAGTTTTCCGCCGTTTTCGGCGTCTGGGGCCCCTCGCCATGGGAGCGCGGGGGAGCGCCAGGGAGACCTCATCGCGCCCCATGGGCTGGAGGGGCCCCGGCGCGACGCGGAAGGGACGTCACGCGACGTCATCACCCCCCTCCTCGACCTGCCCTGAGCTCATCGCGTCGTGAAAGCAAGAGCGACGGAACGTTTTTGGCAGTGGTCGGCCTCCGGGGGCCCGTGCCCAGCCCCAGGACCGTCAGCAAACGTCTCAGGATGAGAAGCCCCTGTGGCTCGCTGTTCAGGGCGCCCTCCTCCTCCTCCTCAGCCTCCTCCTCCGCTTCCTCCTCCTCCGCCTCCTCCGCCTCCTCTTCCGCCTCCTCCTCCTTCAGCGCATGCTCCGTCCCCGGGGAGTGTTCCCAGACTTCGGGGGACCTCGTGCAGTCAAGACGTGGAGGCAAGGAGCAGGTCGGGTTCGAGGGGGGGTTCGCTGGTCCTCGCGTCCTGCTGTGGGTGTTCCTCCAGCTGGCCCTTCCCCGTGCACGGAGGCGCTTTTGGGGGCGAAGGATGCTTCGTTCCTGACGGTGGGTGCCCATACCAGGTAACACCCTGCTTGCCTCCAGGGTGCCTGGGTTTCTTGGGTTTCGATGGTTTTGAGATGGCAGGCGCGACGTTTCCGCACCAAAAATCAACAAACGACTGGGGGTCTCAGGTTGGGTTTCTTATGGAAGGTTTCTTGTGGACTGGCCTCCACTGTACTCCTCGTTCCTGACAGTCAACCCGCATGGTAAGGATGGGCGACCTTCTCAGGGGTACCCTTGCCTCCTTGCCTCCCTCGGTCCATCCTTGGCCGCTTCCGCTGGCCGCGCCCCGCTCGAGAAGCTTCGGGATGGGCGTCCAAAGGCCCTTGCATCCTTACCATCAAGGGCATAAATATCCCAGTGCGACCCTACCTAGGAGTTGGAGCATCTAGGAAAGCAACATCTACATCTACACCGGCGGCTACATTAACATGTACACCTGCATCTACATCTACATCAACATAAACAGCGAGACTCACATCTACATCTACATCTACACCTACATATGCACCTACATCTATATCTACATCTACATCTACATATACATCTACATCTACATCTACATCTACATCTACATCTACATCTACATCTACACTTACACTCACATCTACATCTACATCTACATCTACATCTACATCTACATCTACATATACATATACATCTACATCTACATCTACATCTACATCTACATCTACATCTACTTCTACATCTACATCTACATCTACACCTACACCTACATCCACATCTACACCTACACCTACAGCTACATCTACATCTACACTTTCGCTATGCTATGCCATGCTATGCTGCGCTATGCTATGCTGCGCTATGCTATGCTATGCTAAGCTATGCTAGACTATGCTATGATATGCTTTGCTGCGCTATGCTATGCTATGCTATGCTATGCTATGCTGCGCTATGCTATGCTATGCTATGATGTGCTATACTATGCTATGCTGCGCTTTGCTATGCTAAGCAATGCTATGCTATGCTATGCAATGCTGCGCTATGCTATACATTGCGATGATATGCTATGCTATGCTATGATGAGCTATGCTATGCTATGCTATGCCATGCTTGGCTATGCTATGCTATGCTATGCTGTGCTAATGCTGCGCTGCGCTATGCTGCGCCAGGGTAAGCTAAGCTATGCCAAGCTAAGCTAAGCTAAGCTAAGCTAAGCTAGGCCAGGCTAAGCTAAGCTAAGCTAAGCCAAGTTACACAAAGCTAAGCTTAAGCTAAGCTCAGCTAAGTTAAGCTAAACTAAGCTAAACTAAGCTAGGCTAGGCTAGGCTAGGCAAAGCTAAGCTAAATTCTTTACGCTTCGCGTATCCCCACCAGCCCATCTCACAGCAGCAACTCTTGCGAAGCATGCCGACAGTCGTGTTTTTCAGGCGTGTGTCCGCTTGGCCCCGCATATCTCCCCTGTTCCTCCTTCCTCCCACCTCCTTGTACATCCTCCTTGTGGGGGGACGAGGCGGAGGAGGAGGGAGAGAAAGCGCTCCTCGTGATTTGAGTCGTTTGGGGTTTCTCGTCCTGGTGTCAGTCGTTCGGGCCCGTCTTCCTGGTGTGAGTCGTTCGGGCTCTTCGTGGTGTGAGTCGTTCGGGCTCTTCGTCCTGGTGTGAGTCGTTCGGGCTTCTCGTGGTGTGAGTTGTTCGGGCCCCTCGTCCTGGTGTGAGTCGTTCGGGCCCCTCCTCCTGGTGTGACTCGTTCGGGCTCCTCGTGGTGTGAGTCGTTCGGGGCCCGCGTCGTGGTGTGAGTCGTTCGGGCTCCTCGTGGTGTGAGTCGTTCGGGCGCCTCGTCCTGGTGTGAGTCGTTCGGGCCCCTCCTTGTGGTGTGAGTCGTTCGGGCTCTTCGTGGTGTGAGTCGTTCGGGCCCCTCGTCCTGGTGTGAGTCGTTCGGGCTCCTCGTGGGGCCTCTTGGGGGCCTCTTGGAGCCTCTTGGGGCCTCTTGGGGGCCTCTTGGGGGCCTCTTGGGGGCCTCTTGGGGGCCTCTTGGGGCCTCTTGGGGCCTCTTGGGGGCCTCTTGGGGGCCTTGGGGGCCTCTTGGGGCCTCTTGGGGGCCTCTTGGGGGCCTCTTGGAGGCCTCTTGGGAGCCTCCTGGGGGCCTCTTGGGGCCATCTTGGGGCCTCTTGCGACCTCCTCAGAAGCGCAAATGAGCGCTGCCCCCTGAGAAGGACAAAATGAGCCCAAAACCTTCGTAAAATCAATGATTTTGCTATGAAGGAAGATGAGCGCGGCCCCCTCAGAAGGCCAAAATGGGGCCGAAACCATAGTAAAATCAATGATTTTGGCTTCAAAGAAGAGGAGAGGGTTTTTTCTCCCTCCCCCCGTCGGGGCCAGAATCCTCGTGAGGGGTGTCGTTTTTTAGCCCTCCCAGGAGTCGAAATTGACCCCCCTGACGACCCGCGAGGCGCCCCCTCCAGGCCCAGGGGGAGGGGGTAGGGGGAGGGGTAAACCCCTCCTCGAAGGGGAAGAAGGGGGGTTGAGGACAGAGAGAGCTCTCTAAACCACTCACGCCCAAAGGGCTGGTGGGATTAAGCTAAGTTAAGCTAGGTTAAGCTAGATGAGATAAGCAACGCTAAGCTAAGGGAACGTCACTGGGGGAACCGCGGGGCGGATCCTGGGGGAACCGCCCGGGGCGTGGAACACTGCCCGGCCCTTTAAGCCAACACGGTAAGAACCCTTCTAGGCAGAGCCTAGGTAGGGAAAAACACCCTTACCCTGGTTTACGAGGCGCTGTGCGCTGAACCTCCTGTGGGCTGACAGGTAGACCCTGCGTGATGTGAGGCGTCCCGGCGGCTCTCCAGGCCCTGGGGGCTCCCAGGAGGTTGACAGACCACGCGCTTTGTAGCCCAGGGTAGGGCCGTTCTTTCATCCCTCAGAACCATCGCGCAGGCTTATGAAACGGGCCGGCTGTACTTCCGCAGCCCGGCCGGACCGACCAAAGTCAAGGCATCGGATCTCTGGGAATGCGGGCGGGCCTCGCTGCCTCTCGGAGGCTCCCTCGCCCCGCGGCGCGCGCTCCCGCGGCCGCGCCTCGCCGTGCCCGGGAGTTCTGCGCTCCGTCTTGGCCATGGCTCCTCCTGCTCCTCCTCCTCCTCCTCCTGCTCCTCCTCCTCCTCCTCCTTCTTGGGCGGGATGCCACGAGGACTGGCGTCAGGTGCTCGTTTTGGGAACCTTCCTGGGGCCACCTGGGCGACGCAAAGAAACGGGGTCGTCTGCGCCGACGTTGGCGCGTGAGCTGCCCGAGTAAGGTCGCGCGTACGCGCCCTCGTGGCGCGGGCGGCCCGCGTAAGCCGCCGCGTAGTGTCGCTATGTCATCTCGCGCAAGATCTGCGTTTGATCGTCGCTCACCTGTCGACTCGTTCGACTCCAGTGCGACTCTGGTTCGGCTCTGGCTCAGCTCTGGCTCGACCCGAGGCACCGCGGGCTCAGATGCGGCTCGAAGTCGACTCGCGTCGACGGACGTCTGACGTAGCATCCACGCCTGCGTGGAGAGCGAGTGGCTCCTGAGGGGAGCAACATAACCCTGGGGGGGGGTCCCGCGATCCAGGAATCGTCGTTGTCGCGATCGTCGATCAAGGTTCGAGGGGGGCGGAGGGGGAGGAGGAGTGGGAGGATGAGGAGGAGGAGGAGGAGGAAGAGGAGGAGGAGGAGGGGAGGAGGAAGACCAGTGTACACCCAAGAGTCATCAACGATGTTGGAATTAGCCCTCCCTCCCAGCTCCCTCTGAATAGGCCCCCACAACAGGTCATTTCCATTGAGGGAACTGCCTCGTTGGAAGACAACCGTTTGAAGATCCTGAAGCAGGCCAAAACATTGTTCTCGGGATGTCAACGCCACGTATCAACCTGTCTGCTGTGTCTTGACGATCCGGAATCGTGCCAGAGCGCTTTTTTTGGGACTTCAACACCGCGAATCAACATAACTGTAGCACCCGCATAATCCTGAATCTTTCCGAAACACCATTTCTGGTACGTTGATCATGTGAATCCGTGAAACTTTTGCAAATTTTGAAAACGAATGTGCGCGGCGCTATTGCGAGAGCCACATTTTGAAAAGGAACCGCCCTCAATCCGTGAAACTCTTGCAAATTTTGAAAACGAATGTGCGCGGCGCTATTGCGAGAGCCACATTTTGAAAAGGAACCGCCCTCAATCCGTGAAATTCTTGCAAATTTTGAAATCGAAAGTGCGCGGCGCTATGGCGAGAGCCACATTTTGAAAACCACCCGTCGTCAATCCGTGATACGCTTTCAAATATTGAAAACACATGTGCTCGGCGCTAAGGCGAGAGCCACATTTTGGAAACGACCCGCCCTCCATCTGTGAAGCCGTTGCCACTTTTAAGCTTCAGAGTCATCAGTAGTGAGGACGTCTCAGGCGAAACGCCCGGCCCGCCCCAAAGACTGACCTCGGGGTGCGACAGGGAGAATACGGAGAAGGAATGGAGGAGGGGGAGGGCGGAGGAGGAGGAGGAGGAGGAGGAGGAGGAGGGCAAGAGCAAGTTCAAGATGAATCGACGAGGGCCCCCCAGAACGAGCACCGATAGGGTTGGGTGGCGTGCGCCAGGAGGGCGGCGCGAGAGCGGCGGCCATATTCTGAGAGGCCCCGCCAGCCTCGGAGAGGCCGCCCCAGGAGGCCCCCCCTGAGGGCCCCTTTCGAAGAGGGCCCCGGCCTTCTCAGAAGGCCCCCTTCGAAGAGGGCCCTGGCCCTGTTCGAACAGGGTCGTTTTCGAAGCGGACTCCCCCGTAAGGGTGAGATTCAGGTAAATGTGACGTGGGGCTTCTCATCATCATCATCATCATCATCATCATCATCATCATCATCATCATCATCATCATCATCATCATCATCATCATCATCATCAGCATCACATCGTCATCATCATCATCAGCATCATCATCATCATCATCAGCATCATCATCATCACCACCGCCACCATCATCATTATCAACATCAGCATCCTCTTCATCAGCATCAGCATGATCATCATCATCTCCATCATCACCACCAGCATCATCATCATCATCATCATTTCCATCATCATCATCATCACCACCACCATCATCATCATTATCACCACCACAATCACTTATCATCATCATCATCATCATCACCACCATCACCATCACCATCACCATCACCACCACCACCACTACCATCATCATCATCATCATCATCATCATCATCATCATCATCATCATCATCATCATCATCATCATCATCATCATCATCATCATCACCATCATCATCCATCCATCATCACCATCATCATCCATCCATCATCATCATCACCATCATCATCAGCATCACCATCATCATCATCACCATCATCATCATCACCATCATCATCATCACCATCATCATCATCATCATCATCATCATCATCATCATCATCATTTCCATCATCAGCATCAGCATCATCATCATCATCAGCATCATCCTCCTTGTCCTTCTCAGAAGGCCCCCCCTCCGCCTCCCCGTGCGCCCCCCCCCCCCGTGCGCGCCGCGGGCCCCCGCGGCCCCGCCTCCCTCCCCTCCCTGCCCCTCTGGCAATTACCGTGATCGGTGGGCCGTTTTCCAGTCTGTGAGCGTTCTTTTATTCGTCGTTTGGCCGATCGGCGCGGGCCCTCGCACCCCCCCTCCTCCCCCCGCCCCCCCCTATGGAGTAGATCTTGGCCGTTTCTGGCGCCCATGTCGAGCAGATGGAGCCTCCCCCGTGGGACGAGCTGTTGGAAAACAGTCGCACGAAGCAGGGGTCCGGAGCCAGACCCCCCCACCCCTCCCCGCTCCCGCCCGATGTCGAAACGCCGAAGAAGAAAACGCTCGCTGTAGCACGTACGCCCACTCTGCCAACAGCACGATCGGAATGCAGCGGCTGCAATGTCTCGCCGCCGAATCGCATGGCGCCGTATGCCGCCACCCGAGCCAGCCACAGAATTCCGCGGTGCTGCCCGCCCCGCCGCGCCTCATAATAAGCGGCGGCTCCGCGGCACCCGCGGGCCTCTCGGAGGCTGGGCCAGCTGTCAATGCACCCCCAGGCCTGGTCTCGACGCGCGCCGAAGAAGAAACAACGCCAGAAGCATACAATCTGTTGGCGCTCCGCGCGGATTTCTTGGCTCCGCGCTCGGGCCCCCTGGCGGCGCCTCCGGCGCCGCCCCTGGCGCGTTCCGCGCGCCAGGGAGGGGGGCCCAGCGCAGATCCAAGAGATCCGCGCGGAGCGCCAACAGATTGTGCTTGTGCCGTTTTTCCCTCTTCTGCTCGTCGGCCCCCCGAATCCGGGTCGGCTCGGGCGGCGCTCCAGCTCTGCCGGACGATCTTCCGCCTCGCGCTGCCGTGGCAGACTTGCCGTGGTGAGTCGACGGCCCGCGGAGACGAGGAGGAGGAGGAGGAGGAGGAGGAGGAGGAGGAGGAGGAGGAGGAGGAGGAGGCGGGCCTTCCGAGAGCGAGGGGGCGCAAGGCACGGACCGAGGCGTGTGGCTCAGCAGCGCTGCGTCGGGCATGTACCTCCACAGGAGGAATGTTCAAGAATGGTAAGCAATAGTTCTGGGGCGGTTATTCTATCATTTTTTGGTGTGACTCTTTTTTGGTTATTTTTCATGTCTCTTCCAGAATCCGCCTGCAGGAGGACATGCCCGACCCACGCTTGGCGAGGGGCCCCGTTTCCGTGCAGCATGGGGCGCGGCTCCTTCGCCGAAGCGGATGGCATTGGCCTCCTGTTCGGAGGGGCGCCCTCCCCGATCCGTGGATCTGGCACCCACGCGCCGGATCCGCGGGTCCTTTGTCCATGCTGCCGTGCGCCCGGCAAGAGGGCGGGGGTCTTCGCCGAAGCCCTCCTGCCCTCTCCGAGGCTTCTCGTGGCAGGCCCCGGTGGGGGGGGCACGCTCCCTCCCCTGACATCCGCCGGTCGGATTCTCTCCATCCGCACCCCCTCGTCCTTTCCCCCGTCTCATCCTTCTCCTTAGTCTCCCTCCTCCTCCACCTCTCCTCCGATTTTGTTAGGGGTTGCCCCCTGTCGCAGCCCTGGCGGGCTCCTCCTCCCCGCCCGGGTGACAGCAGTCCCCCAGAGGGGCGCCACCCCGAATCTCTTTCAGACTTGCGAGTCTCTTCCCCTCGGGGCTGTCCTGGCAATCTAAACAGTTCCATATGAATTCTGCTCTCCCTCCTCCCGCGAATTTCGGATCGGCTCGTCGCTCCCGTCGTTCAGAATGGTGCTCTCGCCCCATCGCGGGAAACTGTTCTGGATCAGAGTTTTGCTTCGTGGTGGTCCCCCCATCATTTCCCTCTTCCGCCTTCCCCTGGTCCTCCTGTTTTTCCCGCTCCTTCCACCCCTGTTCCTGCTGCTGCTGTTCGTCTCGCCCCAGCGCGGGCCACTTTTCTTCTGAATCTGATTGTTTATTCGTCATTGTCGCCCCCTTCATTTCCCCTCCGCCGTCCCGTGGTTCGCCTTTCCCTCCAGATCCTTCCGCTTTAGTTCCTGCTGCTGAAGTTAGTCCTCATCCTTTTCCTCCCGCTCATCCTTCTGCTCACCCGCCACCTCCTCCTGTGCACGTAGCTCCCCTGCGTCCGATTGCTCATAACACGAAGTGGTCTTTCTGTGTGGGTCGCAGGTCGGCTACGACACGCGTCCGCGGATAGGGAAACATCAGCGCCATGGGAAGGGATGGGAGGGAGGGATAGGTTGTCAGATGAGGCGCGAGCGCACCTAGCTTGCCCACCCTTCCCCTCTTCTCCTTGTCCCCATCCTCATCCCCCTCTCCTACTCCTGCCAGTGGGGGCAGCCCCATTGTTCCAAGGTCAACCGGCTCCTTCATAAGACGGGTTGCGTAGAGCTCTTGGCCAGTTTCGGCGTGAGTAGTGCAACTCACGTGATCTCCCCGCGCACTGCTCATTGCTCAATGCTTATTGCTCCTCCTCCTCCTCCTCCTCCTCCTCCTCCTCCTCCTCTTGCTCCTCCTCCTCGTCCCCGCGGCCTCAGACGTCCCGACCGCCTCCCCGGGGGGCCGTTGGTTTCCCTTCCGGATCCATCTCGGGTGGCCCGTCGGGGTTCCCCGAGACTGGCTCCAGATGGGCCGAAGAGCGGAGGAGAGCTCGCCGGCTGAAGAACTTTATACATCGTCGGAGGTGTGGGTTCCCTTGACCCTCGATCGCCCTCCTCCTCCTCCTCCTCCTCGTTCTACTCCTTCTCAACGTTCTCCTCCTCCTCCTCCTTCTCCTCCTCGTTCTTGTCGTCGTCATTGTCCTCCTCCTCCTCCTCCTTCTCCTCCTCTCAAGCGCCATTCTGGTACAAGCCTTTTGACCAGGGCTGGATCATTTTTGTTGTGCTCGCTTGAGGGCCTCCCTCCCAAGAGGTCAACGCAGGGGATTTCTCCTCTCTCCCTAACGGTCCCATCTCTTGCTCGCAGCAATGGTGGGAGTTTTCCGCTTTGGACGTGCCTTTCGTGCGGTTGCAACCGCAAAAAGGCATCCTGGGTCTGGTGCAAGCGCTGCAAGACGCTATGGTGGAGCTCGCCGACTTCCGTCAACTCTGGCAGCGCAGGCACTCTGGCTGACGGCCCTCCTGATGCTCACGATCGTGGCCTGACTCGAGTGCCAGGCCCTCAGTTCTGGCAGGAAGGTGCCACGGTGCTTCCAGTCGTGCCCGCGGAGGCCGACTTCGAGGACTTGCGGGCTGGCGCCCCCCTGTTCGAGAAGATCGGGGACACGACCGGTGCTGCGGCATACAGGTCACTTCTCGTCGATCGGGAGCAGGCACCCGCCAAGACTCCCGAGCCTCCACTCCAACGTCAACTCAACGACGCGTGCCATCGTGTGCGGGGGCTGGAGGAGAAGCTCGAGCAGGCAATGTTGCGATCGAATCGTCCCGACATTTCAAGTGTCATATCAACGCGAATGGGCTCTCCATTGTGTCAGGGAGCTGGGCGAAGCTGGTGAGCGGCACACTCAGCTCGTTCGGGATCTCCTCGAGCAGGTCTCTGAGGCGCAACCTTCAGGTTTTCAGCAGCCCGTCGACATCTCGATCGATGACATCCTCGATGGGACGGAGGACGCCATCCCCATCAGCTTGGGCTCCCTGGCGCAGCTTGATTCCGAAGAGCTATGATCTCAACGAAGGGGGCCCAGGAGGCCGACGCTCGTATGCGCCAGCTGCATTAGGTGCCCAAGAAGCTGTCACCGCGCTTTTTGGAGAGGCGGCCGCGCAGGCCCGTGAGGTAAAGGACGCGCGCGCCGAGCTTCTGCCCAGCATCGCCAAGCAGAGGAAGGCCGAGGCCGACTCGGGAGCTGCAGCGGCTCTTGGGCAGCCCCCCTGGTGGCGGTGAAGGTGCTGGCGGCAGCGCAAGGGTCCCCGCGGGAGGCGGCCCAGCGCCCGCGGAGTCTGCCGTGGTGACACCGCCGTCTTCTGGGGCGAAGCGGCAGTCTGATGCAGAGGCCTGGCTGTCTTTCCGAGCCCAGGCCGAGGCCACTGCCGCGTCTTCCAATCCTGCCCCTCCCCCCCCGCTGGGGTCTCTGGCAAGTTTTTTGTTGCTTCCAACCGCAGAAGCAAAGTGAGTCGGGAGCCCTGGGCGGCTGGGTTCGGGGAGTCTCGCACTTTTGGCAGCGGCTTCAGATACTCGAAGGTTTCGCTGAGTCTGCTTCGAGGCGGAGCCCATCGCAGGCTCTCTCCCCTGACGTCAGCCTGTGAGTAACAAACGGACCCCCCCTGGGCTGATGAATAGACCCCGCGGGCGGGACGTTTTTTTTTTTTTTTTTTTTTTTTTTTTTTTTTTTTTTTTTTTTTTTTTTTTTTTTTTTTTTTTTTTTTTTTTTGATATATATATATATATATATAACATTATTATATATGTGTGTATAG